TGTCTGGAGGGTAAAAAGAATTAGTCACTGGCTAATGCATGTAGTATATTAGGCAGTATACCCAGTACATGAGCTGTCTTTTTTTTTTTTTTTTTTTTCTAGACAACAGTGCTTTGTATTGCAGCACACAGTTGCCGTTCTGAAATAACGTTAGTGAAAGCTACTTGTTTACGTTACCCAGATACTGGTTATCCTTGATATAGAACATATGCCTGCTGGAAATTCTGTGTTTCTAGCAGAAAGCTTGTGGATTGTCTAGAGGCAGAGAACATCATTCTTTCTCTCTCTAAGGCTTATGTAAAAGACTGAAGACTGTTGTGAGAACAATGGTGATAAGGCTTATGCAAAATCTTTGTTGGCTACCTTTAGGGTTTTGGGTGGAGATTAAGACAACAGTTAAAATCTGAAAAATCTTAGCTGACCTGGGATACTCTTACCTCAGTTTTTGACTACTCAGGTAAATCCAGTCACATTTAAGTACGGTATATTCATACTTTAATTTGTAATCCAAATTAACTGATAAAAAGAAATCAGGCAACTCTGTTGTTACTGTCCTGTGTGCGGTAGCTAGATTGGAAACGATAGATATTTTGTTTGTCACTTTTATCTTCATGCGTAGAGCCTACACTAGAAAAATTGCACAGGAGATAATAGTTCTGTATTTATTAGTACAGAGCTACTGCCATACTGCATTTTGCACAAGAATTGCTCATCCTTAGATTTTATCCTCTTTGATCTCTGAGGAGTCAGTGTGGATTTGCTTTCGGGGCTTCCTGCAAATGTGATGATTGAGTCAGCAACTAGTAGAGAATTATGTGTCTGAGAGATCCAGCTAATAGTATATATTTCTTTTTCCAGGGGTAATTGCTGTTTCAAGAACTGAAATGTGGCAGTCTTTTATAGAGGCCCATTTTGTTTGCTTAACATAATCTATTAAAACAGAGGTTATTTTTAAAATCTGTGCTGTGTGTGATATGAAACATTTAAAACAAAAAAAAAATAAAGTTTACTCAGTTATTCAAACTGTACAGTAGGGCATAACTACATTAAAATAACTTTTTAAAGCCTCTCAGTTCTCATTAATTTTCTGAAGTACAAATGATTTCCAATATTCCTCATCAGATTTCAGGTTCCCAATTTAATTTTATGCTTAATTCCCCCACCCCCTTCCCCCCCCCCCCCCTGCCTTTTTCCAGTCTTCCTGTAGTTTCTTTAATGAAGTTACAGGGGGTTGAAGACAGTCCATTGAGAAGAGACGGCTCTTTCTTTATGTCTTTTCTTTCAAATATAGAGCTAACCATTCCTGATTATCACACTTCTTTCATAATCTTTCCCATTCTCCCCTGCACCTCAAAATGTGTCTTCCGGAATTTGGAATGCCCCCTAATTGGTAGGGTCCTACCATTCTACCACAATAATCTTAGGCACTATTTTAAATACAAGAATAGACAAACCTAGTGAAAATAAAATTTAGGAATGTAATGTACCTGCATCTATTAAGATTACCCTCCAGTGGAAGATATGAAAGAGTAGCACGAATTACTAGAAATTCTAAATAGTACGAAACAAGGGGCACCATACAGAAAAAAGAATCAGAGTAAGCATCTGTTTTGTTGCTCAATCCGTGAGGTCGGATATGAATCATGGCATGGCATTCACTGTGTTTTTGTTATTTTTGCATTACATACGTTTTCTTAAGGATTTTTTGGGGGTAATCGACTGTTATCTAAAATAATTTCCAAGGCTTCTCTAATGATAGAGGGAGGACTTTGCAGTTACACTAAATTACGTTATTTAAAATAAAATATTTTTGCAACTCTTTAGAGTTTTTCTTTTCACTTACATGTGGTGATTCATATTACGCTGCTTATCACTACTTCTCATTTATTGCTACATTTACTGTAAACAAAACAAAGTAGTGGTTACAAGGTTATTTTATAAATTTTGCCCAAAACTTAAGTGAAGGAAGACCAAGGAACGCTAATTTGGATTACTTGAAAGCATGACTTATATTTTCCTCTCTCTGTTTATTTCTGCAAGACTAAATACTTTGGTTTCATTATTTTAATATGAAATCTGTTGTTTTCAGAGAGATTATGGCTTATAGAGAAGCGGAGTGCTGTCTAAGGATCCTAACTGATAAAGAATCACAGAATAGTTGAGGTTGGAAGGGACCTCTGGAGATCATCTAGTCCAACCCCTCTGCTCAAGTGGGGTCAGTTAGAGCAGGTTGCTCAAGAGGCATGAACAGGTGGGTTTTGAATATCTCCAAAATGGAGACTCCACAACCTGCCCGTGCAACCTGTTCCTGTTTTCGACCACCCTCACAGTGTTTTCTTACGTTCAAGCAGAATTTCCTGTATTTCAATTTATGCCCATTGCCCCTTGTCCAGAGTAATGGGCAGAGTTCTTTGGAGGGTCAAGACTATGGTCAATCAAGGACTTGATATCTATAATACTTTCTTCCATGCAGTTCTTGCCCCAACCAAACATAGACGTCTGCAACTATCTATACAAAGAGATGTGCCTTTCAGTGTCCATTTCATATCAGAATAAGGAAAAAAGCTGCTTCTGGTGCTGATCGCCCATCAGATAATACTCATTGGTGAACGCTTTTCCAAGTCTTCTAGGCAGGTAGTGAGGGTAGGGAAAAGCATAGTTTGCCTTGTAGGAAAGATCTAGAGTTCCATAGTTCAAAATCAAGGTTATTTCTGTTTCCTTTTCAGTGCAAAATGAGAAGATAATGCCTTTCTCCTTGTATCATCAAGAGGGAAAAAATGTATCTGTCCTTTCATGGTTCTGGATTGATGTGCAGCATAGCTCATTTAAATTCCATAAAAATAATACATTCATAAAATATGAAAACCTTAGATTACAGATTGAAGAGTTTCTGGTCGCTGCTACTATCCAGGTGACCCAAGTAGCGATCAAGGATCCTGCCACCCGTCTCAGTCACAAATGAGTCATAAAAGGCAGATATGCAGCCTTAGCTACAGGTGGAAAAATTCTTTTCTTCGTGTCTTCTGGTTGTTCACCTTGAGTTGAGTTGCATTTATTGTATCCAGAGAGAGCTTCAGACAGTTTATTTTCTTCAGGTGCACTGTGAAATGCCTAACAAATACTGATCCTAATGTTGACTCAGAACAGCACGCTTTACTAGAAACGTTACCTTAATACACGTGTGCTCACGCGCAAAAAGATATTTTCCTAACCTAATAAGATGCATAGCCTTGCGTGAATTCAAAGATAATTCAACGCTCAGTCGCGTCTTACTAGCCAGGGAAAAAAATGACAAAATGATGGAAACTAGACAAAGCAGAAGTTTGAATTTCAAGACCGTATCTAAAAAGGAACAAAGAAAAAATACACTTTTTATTTTTTTGCTTTGCAAAGGTTCTGAAGAATGAATTCACTGTAAGCATGACATCTACTTGTTGAGCGATAGGGAAACCTGTGGTTCAAGAAGCTGGTGTGATTGCTTCTTACAGTAAGACTGTGACAAAGTATGACTCTTACTGGGTATGGCTGTAGGTGACAAGGTATCTCCTTGTGACAAGGCACCTCAGGGAGCCGTCTTCCAAAGGGCCTCTCAATTTTGACTTCAGCAGACAATAATGTATTGGTGCTCTGTAGATTCAAACAACTTCATATCCCTTTTTTGCTTGAAGACTAATGGAAAATGTCAAGTAAATATAGGAGAGATTGCAATGGGAAAGAGCGCTGAAGGAGCTTCTCAGCTTCTGGAACAGGATTTTGGAGTTATGATAGTTTGGTGACTACGTTAGCTCGGTACTCACTAATGGTCAAAAAAAGCATAAATAAATTACTAGGAATTATTGGGGGGAAAAAAAAAATTACTCAGAAAAAACCACAATATCATTGTGCATCCGTAACTTGATTACTTGTGTGGATCACAAAAAAGGCATTATAGAACTGAAAGAGGTGCAGAGAGATGAAATGGGGAATAATTAGGGATAGTACAAAATGACTTCTATACAAAAAATGACAAGGGCTTCTTAACCATGAAAAGAGTTAAGTGCGATAGAGTGAAAGTCTGTGAAATCTGGAGCTTCATAGAGAAAGTGAATACAAAGTGATTTTTTTGCTGTCTCCTTCCAAACAAAAACAACTGGACCTCAAATGAAACTGTTAGGAATGAGGATCCAAAAAAAAAACCCAACAGGTGTTACTTCAAATGATCCTAAACCACAAGGTAGTTTAAAAAAAAGAGAAAACCAAATTCTGAAAGTAGAAAGGCTCCGTGAAACATATCAAGTGCCACACGTCTCTGTATGCGAATTCCTGTATCCCTGTAGTTCTGAAGTAGCTTAGCTGTGAGCATATAGATTTCCTGAGTCAACACTTCTTTTTAAGAATGTCAGCTTTTCCCCCTTTGCATTTCATCTTTGAAAGTGAACGGGTAATCTAATTTTTCAGTCTCTTGGGTACTGAAACAAGAATTCCATATGATCAAAAAACCTCTGTTTGGGAGGATAAGTGCTTTGTTCTAGATACCTGCCACACAAACAGATAAAATTATAAGGCATCATAACATACATGGAATATGTTGAGATTCAGAGAAGTCGTAGTCTCTGCTTCTAAGGCAGAAGAGCAGGCAATCTGAATTCCTAAAATTTCTTAGTTTGGTAGGGATGTATCACTGCATACCGAACCTGTAAACATTCACTGGGATCACCTACACCACAAACAGGGAGTGGAAAGACTCCCCTCAAAAGTTGCACTTTTTTTTTTTTTTTTTTTTTTGATGTGGGATAGCAGCATTTGGCTTCCTGTGCTACAGTGTCTAATGCCTCTCTTCTCCTGAACTGCTAGTGTATTGGAAAGAAATTAGAAGACTTGAGAAGAATTTTGGATAATCACGGCTGAAAGTAGTTAACAATATCTGGATGTTTGCCGTGGAGATATAGTTTGTCAGTGTTTGTTTAGTTTTAGTCTTGACAAAGGAAATGCAATCTGAAAAAATACTTTGATCGATGTTGTTACATTTTTCTGGTTTTAGGAACTGATATTGCTGCTGGAGAGGAAGTCGCAATTAAGTTGGAATGCGTGAAGACCAAACATCCTCAGCTCCACATCGAGAGTAAAATCTACAAAATGATGCAGGGTGGAGGCAAGCAAATTCTTTTCCTTCTTAAGAGACTTAGTTGTCTTTATGTCTTTGTTGTATCTTCCATCTTTAAGTATTTAATAGTTCTCTTCTCTTTTGGAAGATTACGAGGAAGTGGGGAAGGTGACAGGGTAGATGAAGAGGAGTACCTCAGCTCTTCTGTGGTATAGAGTAGCAGTTTCCAATCTGTGGCTACCGAACCTCATGATATCCAGCGATATCCTCCAAAGATGCTTAGGGTCCCAGAATATTACAAAGTGAAAGCTCAGACCAATATGGAGCAAAGTTTGGTCTTGCCTGGCAGTACGCTGCTTGATTTGTGTTTTTTCTCGTGGATCAGTGAAAGAAGGTAACAGCTGGTGTTGAGAATTCAACCTGGCTTCATTAATATAGTAGCACAAATTCTAAACTTAGTAAATTCAGGTTAATTTTTGTTACAAGTGCTAGTATTCTTTCTTCTTGGTTAGAAGTGTTTCCTTGCTGTAGGAATTCTAGCATGTAATGGCATTAATAGTAGAGAGCATGAGTGAAGCAACTTCATAGCTGCTGTGTGGTACTCTGCTAGGAGAACTTGCTTACTGATTTTAGGATTCTGCAAATGTAGGACTCCAATGCAGTTTTGGGACATAAATTTGGTATAGTTAATTTTGCTTCTATTGCATAATCCATGGAATTCTTTCTGAGAAAGGTTATACTTTGCATAAAGGCTACATTCTACGCTACATCTCAAATACAAAATGTGGTAATCGTATATCTAAAAACAGATGATAATTGTATTTGCAAATGAGTAGAATTATGGTTGTTCGGTTATCTTTCAATTCCTGCCTTTCTTCAGTTTATTCCTGTCTGAGTGTAACCTGGCTAACCTTCATGGAATGAAATACTTCCTTTATAGGCTTGCTAAAGCTAGGATGGTGAGTTCCTTCTGCTGATGGACACTGTGCAGAGGCAGGTGATGCAAAGTAAAGTAACCACACAAGTAGGGTTTCCCCATGAAGGAAACTCAGGAAAACTTAATTTACACTAAATAAAGGTATAAATTAAAATTAATTTTACTATTTCACTTCCAGATTACATAAAATTAACTCACGATAAAGCCATTTGAAATTCTGAGTAAGAATATCTACATACAGGTATAATTCAAAATATTTGAGCAATTGCACAGTTTTTTGTGGAATAATGTTCCTGAGTTCCTGAGCCCCCATATAGTGGGGCTACCTTCAGCTACGTCAAAGGGGGTATACAGCAGTATAGCATATCTCATAAATGGTGCTACTTCGGTAGAGGTACACCAAATAGCAAGTACACAGGAACTGGAGGAAAGGCAGGAATATGAAGCAAGGGGGAAAATTCATTCCAAATTCAGAAGGAAGAGAAAGGTAGTTTACGGGGATCTCGTAGGCTTTGAAACTAAGAAGTTAATTTCTGAACTCTTCTTTAATAATATTTAGTGGTTTAGCCAATGTCTTTATTTTCAGACTTCCAGTTCACTCCTTATTGACATTTTGGGTGCTACATTGACGGTTGATATTTATAAAATGTTTAAGGTTCAAATCCAGCAAAACCACTAAATGCTTTCAGGCGTTTAGTTGGATCATTACAAGCTAAGGGCAAAGATGATGAGGTTTCTGGAAAAGAGAAAAAGGCTATTTTGGATCTCTCTAGCTATGTTTTTTATATTAGTCCTTCTATGAAATGGTCAGACTTTTAATTTCAGAAAAACTGAAGGTAGCATGAAATATTAAGCTTCAGTGGAAATATGAATATTCATAGTAACGACCCCCTTAGAATCCGTCTTACGAGCCTTGCAGATTTGTATGCGAGACCTATATAAATCAAAAAAAAAAGTACTGAATAAACTATTTTCTTTGTTCCAGTGGGTATTCCCACAATTAAGTGGTGTGGAGCAGAAGGGGATTATAATGTAATGGTGATGGAGTTGTTGGGACCAAGTCTTGAAGATCTCTTCAATTTTTGCTCAAGGAAATTTAGCCTCAAGACAGTCCTCTTACTTGCTGACCAAATGGTAGGAAACTGCTTTGGTGTTCTTGTTAATGAAGTATGTCGGGCATATTAAAATTTCTTAAGAGAGATCGCAACCAATTATATTCTCTCTTTGGTAATTTAGAGGCGAATAGGGTGTATCATATTAGAGAAAAGGCTCAAAATTAGTTTTGTTTCTGTAAACAGACGGTCTCTCGTCAAAAGTAATTTTAAAGTCTTAATTTGATTTAAAACCTGCACCTGAGCCACTTGCAAACTAGGTATTATACTGCTCAAATATGAGCAAATTCCCCCAAGAATGTTTTTTAGAAACACAAGTGGAACAGACACAGGGGAAAACTGGAGAGAAGGTTTATCTATTGTCTTTGAAATTATATTCTCTTAATGCCCCCGTGTTTTACAATAAAAAGTGTCTTTGCCAATTTTATTATTAAGACCATGTTTCTGGTGCTTTTTAAGAAAAAAATATATGCCTAACCTCTCAATTATTTTTCATCCTCTGTATCTAGATTAGTCGAATTGAGTATATTCACTCTAAGAACTTCATCCACCGAGATGTGAAACCAGATAACTTCTTAATGGGCCTGGGAAAGAAGGGCAATCTTGTCTATATAATAGACTTTGGATTAGCGAAGAAATATCGAGATGCTCGAACTCACCAACATATCCCATATCGTGAAAATAAAAACTTAACAGGAACTGCCCGTTATGCATCCATCAATACTCATCTTGGAATTGGTGAGTTGGGGAATGCAATAAATAGAAAATTTAGTGTCGGTATTTTAGATGTCGATAATTTTAGCAACCAAACGTTGCTTTACGGAGGCATAGAAGACAGTCCGTATTCCTGATGCTAGCAATGCAGTATGCTTAGGCTCGTGTTGGTGGGGAGGGATTCCGTCAGGTTGTAATTCCAAGGAATTAACGCGTATTTTAATAACTGTAAGGATGGTAGGCCTTTTCTAGTATTGGATGAGTTTAACATGGACATACTAACTTTCAGCGTCTGTTGTGTTTTTAAGGCTTTTTATGACATTGTTGCACAGTTTTGTGTTTTTCAAGTAGAAAATCAAACCTAATGAGTCCACTTTTTTATGCTGTTGTAGAGCAATCTCGCAGAGATGACTTGGAGTCCTTGGGCTATGTACTGATGTATTTTAACCTGGGCTCCCTCCCCTGGCAGGGACTGAAAGCAGCAACAAAGAGGCAGAAATATGAACGTATCAGTGAAAAGAAAATGTCTACACCCATTGAGGTTTTGTGTAAAGGATATCCTTGTAAGTTACTCTTTTGTGGCACTGGCGCTAAATGTTTATTTTTTAGGGGTATTGCTTTTTTGTTTACACTGACTTCTAGCTCCTAGTATCAGAATGTTGTGTTTGAAGCATGTAATTTACCAGTCTTTCTGACTTTTCTTAGTGCGTGGGCATGTCCGTGATAGAGATACTGTACTTTCAAGACTGGAATCTTTGTGTTCCTGGATCATTTCTACTTGTCCCCTGTGTTAAGTATTTAATGTGCAATCATTGCCATGCCTTTGAGACTGAAGGTTAGCTCAGTGTGTCTGATCTGCGCAATGTTGTGCGTGTCTGCATATATGTGGCCCTGTTAACTGCACCAGCCAAGCAGCTTTTCGAGAAACTACCCATTTCTTCATATGTGTGGGTACTGTTTCACGGATGATTAGGATTGTGTAGCCAAACTCACCTGTTATTGTAGTTGTTTCATTTAGTAATTGTCATGCTTGGTTCATCTAGTTTGCCCAGTCAGTGGCCAGCGTCTGTGACAAGTATTAGAAACCCTCCTATATCCTAGCGTGATCCCTCCGAGCTGGTCTTTTCCTCAATTTGGTATTGTCCCCATATTAATAATTTGACAGTTTTTGAGCTGTGCAAAATTATACTTAATCTGCTTTAAAACTTGTTAACGTTAACTGCTGTTAGAGAATATTGTTCTCTCTCAGGAAAAGTTCTGTCTCTACTCTTTCCACACTCTTGGCCGCAACAGCTACCTACGATAACGAAAACCATAGTTGTTGTTATAGTTGTATGAGAACTTATTTTCTTTGATCTGTTTCAAATGTCGCGTCATTTACCTTCCTTTGCACTCATTAACTGTTTCTGTCCTCTGGGATTAACAGACAGGGAAAACTAATCAATTTTTCCTGTGCTATTTGTTAGAATTTCTTATTTAACATAAAATTATTCATATAATCTTTCAGCTGGAGACATTTGACCTCAAAAGCTACCAGTGTTATCTCTGGTGCATTGCATGCACAATCATATTCTGTTTTGATTGTGTAACTAATATTTTGAGTGCCATGTAAAAACAGATATTCTGAATATTGAGAATCTAAACTTGCAACGTGACCGAACTGGGAGATTGATACGGGTCCGTATTCTGTTCCTGTTCTCCCTTCCGGTCCCTAGTCTTTGTGAGTTGTTAAGTAGCAGAAATGAATCTTCCTGTGACTTTAGGGCAAAAAAGTGCTATTCCATGTCCTGGAACATTCAGTTTCAATACATTCATAGCAGAAAAGGCAAACAAAAAACCCCTCTTTCCATTTCTGCAACTGTAGTTTTAGACCAGTCTCCCCTCTGTCTCCTCAAATCGTAACATTCCGTGTCCTTTGATGTTGACAAGTGAGATCTTTGCCTACTTTGCAGTAGACATATAATTCCTTTTTCTGGGTGTACTTTGATACGGTATTACAAATAGTATTGCCTTCACTAGGCCCCAAGTATTTGGTCACTATTCTGTTTTTCTGATTTTGGGACGTTCTCTATTTTTATGACTCAGAATTATAAAAAGCAAATGTGAAGCTGAGGAAAAAAAACAGTTTGTTTTTTTTTTTCCATTACAGCTGAGTTTGCTACTTATTTGAATTTCTGCCGTTCTTTGCGTTTTGATGACAAACCGGACTATTCCTATCTAAGGCAATTATTCAGAAACCTCTTCCACCGACAAGGGTTCTCCTATGATTATGTGTTTGACTGGAACATGCTCAAATTTGTGAGTAGCTGACATAGCTTACTGGAATAAATTTTTGGTAATCCTATTATTTACTACATTGTCAGTTTGAGTTCTTTACTGGTATGTTTTGTCTCTTCCCCTAGAAGCTTTATTGTCTAGGAAAAAGATGAGAAAATCGGGAAATGCAGGAGTTGCAGGAGCCATGAGATCAGGTTGAATGGCAACTAAGTTGCAGTTACAGGGTTTTAAATGAGTAATGTTTTTGAGGTATTTTCCTCAGAGCAGTCCTCAGGTTAGGTTGCTGAGTTATTGTTTTCTTCCATCTTGATCTTCAGCAGGGGTCACTTGAAACTGTTACAAGGTGTCCAGCTGCCAAAGCAGTAAGCATGTGCATCAGCATTTTGAAGACTATTCCAGCAATTGTATGAACTGCATTTATGACAGTTTTCAAGAAATTTTATCCAAAATTAATGCCCTAGCAAATTCCACTTAACCGTTTTTAATGTTCAGTATTTATCTGAATATATAGTTGTAAGTTCAATACTCCAAGTTGTTCACTAGTCTCAATCCACAGGGTGCAAGCAGAGCTGCTGAAGATGCTGAACGTGAAAGGAGAGAACGAGAGGAAAGATTAAGACATACACGAAATCCAGCTGTTCGTGGCTTACCCTCCACTGCTTCTGGCAGGCTGAGGGGGACGCAAGATGTAGCTCCTCCTACTCCTCTTACCCCAACTTCACATGCTGGTGAGTGAGTGAGTACCAGGATAGATGCACCTTGCAGAATACTCTAATTTGCAGTTTGTTCCTGGTAATTGGAAATTAGGAATTAGAATTAGGATACCTGAGTGGTAATTGGTCTTTTTTTTAACAGCTTGAAGGTAAATCGCACACACCCATTACCTGCCAGTTGCTACTTAACGGTTTTCTGTGGATATAGAACAAAGCCCCTAATTTCTCTGGTTTGGCTCTGTGGAAGCCATATAAGCAAACAGCAAGAGTTTCGTTTTTTGTGTGATCGTGATTTAATTCCATTTCACGTTATCAGAGTACTAATGGAGTTTTTCTCACAGCCAACACCTCTCCTCGGCCAGTGTCTGGCATAGAAAGAGAAAGGAAAGTGAGTATGCGATTGCATCGTGGTGCCCCCGTCAATATCTCGTCGTCTGACTTAACAGGCCGACAAGATACCTCTCGCATGTCAACTTCACAGGTAAAAAAGATTTTTGTGTGAAGCAAAAATGAGGGTGATTTGATCAAGTTAATTCGCTAAAAGAGCGTATCAGCTAATTGATGAGATTTCATATTGATTTTTCAAACAGCGTTGACTCACATAAATGCTTGACATTTTACCTGAATGTTTGTGACATGGCTGTAGGTTACTGTGAAAATTCTCATACCTTGGCAGCGATAAACCTAAAACGCTCAAAGTAATGAGGAATCTTTGGTGTACGAGACAATGCAAAATCCTAGGGATACAGATTTTTTGTGCCTTTAGCAAAATTGTAGCCTGTAGCTCCCTTGGTCATTGATTTTCTTACATTAGTTATCAGTGAGGAAGCAAAGCAAGTTGGAGTCGGTTGTGAGTCATGTTTCCAAATCAATGAAATAGATAATATTGGTACAGAATAGAAAAGAGAGAATTCATAAAGAATAGAAAGGCACAGAAGTGAAGAAATACTGTAGTGCGATACTGTAATTTAGAGCAGATAAGCTGCATACATGGATGCTTGAAAGGTCACAGAAGGCTTAGTTGAACAGGCTGGCAGGACTGATAGACTGTTGAATGATAGAGCGATTCATAGCTGTAGTCTGCACCGAAATCATCCTCATTGGCCACGGTGACTTAGCAAAAAGATTTTTGGAATGCTTCTTTTTAGGCCTGACCAGCAATATTTGAATATATTTTTAACTCTCTGTGCACTACAGCTGAAACACTCCTTTGTCAGAACGTTGACACAGACTTGTCCTAAGTAGCCAGTCACCTGGTTTTGTGCAGCTTGACTTCAGCCTTACTTACAGAATAGGGAATCTCTTGTCCTATAGATAGACTGCGACATTAATGAGAGAGGAGTATGTTAGGAGGACTGGTGTAGTTGCCTGCAGTTTTTGTCATTGTCCCTCAACACTATGCCGGAGATTTAAACACATAACTTTTGCAGTGGACTCATGTTATTCCTTGTGGATAAGCATGCTGTGTTGATTAAAAAAAAAAAAGAAAGAAAGAAAGAAAGAAAAAAAAGAATTCAGTTTCTTTGGCTTCTTCATTTTTTTGGCAGAATTAATCATTTGGGATAATATGTGTTCTTGTACATTAAATCTTTGTGCTAGAGAGAGAACTCTTTTAGATGGTGGTCAGATGGGTGTCTCTAATGAAGACTGAGGCCACAGGGTTTTTTTTCTGAATGGATCTTATGTTCTGGCCTGAACTACAAATGAGAAAGAGATAAGACAATGAAAACACAATGGAATTGGAAAAAAATGTCAATCTGGAACTCAGTCTTACTAAAAGTAATATGAAAGCCTATGAGATGGGATTCATTTGCCAAAACAATAGCAAGATGATAAATACCTACGTCATAGAAGTTTTTTAAATCAAACTCAAAATGCTTTTCAGAAGGAAATGTGCTTCCCTCATCTGTATAACAGGAAAGAAACAGCCCAGCAAAACATTTTACAGAGTGAGAAATTGGAAATAGTGGAAGAGTGTCCATGTGTACAATGAATGATGAGCAGCATCCTCTGATTAAGGCAAATTTTGCCTCACTTCAGCCTGCACCGTACAACTTTTGTATTAAGTGAAGCAGAATTTGGGAAGGCTTTAGCTCTAGAACCTGCAAGTCCTCTGTCTCATTTCACATCCAGTTTGCATGGTGAATAAACAGCAATATATGATTTCTTATTTATGGGAGAGCATGTAGGTATATGCTATTTCCTTCTAAATGTTAGAAAACTAGAACTGCAACTGTGATTTTCTTCCTGTGGCCTATCTAGGAAGGGCTGGAACTTTTAAAAGGTCTGTAAAACTATTTCAATGCTTTTAGACATATCCCCTTCAGAGGTGTCCAAGTGTAGGAGAAGATGCCATGTATCCATTTAGATATCTGGGAATGGTCCTGTTTTTACCTGACAGTTAAGGTCTTGAACTTCGAGATGTCAGTGAACTGAGGGAGAACAGTGCTACCCTGGATTTCTGACAATTTAATCCCACCAACTTAAAAACCTAGGGCTGTAGTTTCCGTACCTTTTAGGCTGACACAATTGCTTGAAAAATAGGCTCTCTTTTGCATCAGTATCACCATTCATACAGACAGATGCTGAACTGGGTTGGAGAACTAATTTTGCTGTAACAAAAGCAGAGTGGGATTTTTGGGGTAGTTTTCAGGTGGATGAATTCCGTTTCACCATGTAGCTGCACAAACATTTGTGCTGGCACAAAGGATGGACAGTGCAGGAGGAAATTTGAGTGGACAAGCACAGGAGACAGATGAGGCTGTCTCCCTTGGCTTTGGTGGCAGTTTTTGCCAGCTTAAAATGTTCATTGAACTACAATCCGTGCCACTAGAAACCCTCAGATTGAAATATTTTATGGCTGAGATTTATGAGCAGCATGAAAATGAAGAGGTCGTAACTGTGCATAAATACCTTTTAACTATCCATACTGAAGTGTGTGGTGAAATACTGATTTGGAGTTTCTGGGGAAACTGAGGTCCAGTTCTGGGCTCCCTATCACAAGAGAGACCTGGATGTACAGGAGTGAGTCCAGTGAAGGGCCATAAAAATGATTATGGAATTGGAGCATCTGACACATGTGGAAAGGCTGAGAGAGCTGGGGATATTTAAGTCTGGAGAAAGGAAGGCTCAGGGGGGTTTTATCAACGTGTAAAATACCTGATGGGAGGGTGTAGAGAAGATGGAGCCAAATTCTTTTTAATAGTGCCCAGTGAACGGACAAGAGGCAATAGGCACAAATTGAAATACAAGAAATTCCATTTAAACATAAGAAAAACACTTTTTTTTTTTTTAACCGTGAAGGTGGTCAGGCGCTGGAACAGGTTGCCCAGAGAGGTTGTGGAGTCTCCGTCTTTGGAGATACTGAAGACCTGACTGGAGAACGTCCTGATCAACCAGCTCGAGTTGACCCTTCTTTGAGCAGGACGGTTGGACTTGTTGATCTCCAGAGGTCCCTTCCAACCTCAACTATTCTGTTATTTGGAGTTCTCTGTGAGATACTCGAGTATAAAGATGTTTCGGTGGTGAAGTGTGTACACTCAAGGTTCATCTCTGGCACTCTGGGCAAATTTCGGATAGTTTGTCTCTGTTACCAGTCAGATGAAAGCAAATAATTAGTGGGAATAACAGAAATAAGCACAATGATATTTGGTTGTGCTAGGAGAATCAATTACATTGAGTGTGCTTCATACATTTTTTGCTATATAGCTGACATTTAGCTCAGTGTGCACATGACATTTTTCTAAATGTTTTAAGCGTGAGTAATCCAGGTAGGTTTGCAGATAGTTTTTTAGGTCTATTTAATTTGTAAAATGGGAATATTCTGGGTTTGTGTAGGAATGTGTTTTTTGAGTAGCCTGTGAATATCCATGTTCACGGCATGTGCCCACAGTGCAGCCTGGACTAATAGCGTGTTTCCCTACCCACCCTTTGGCATTCTGCTCCAACTGCAGGATCACTCAGTCAACCTCTTTACAATTACAATAGCAGACTAGTCAGGATCTTCTCTGGGTTCGTCGGAATTGATCATTCATCTTCTATTATTTTTTTTAGTTCTTACCAAGCTAGTGAACAGCTGTGGTCTTCACTCATAAGGTGGCTGAACAACAGTGTGCAGTCATAATATAATTTAAATATCTTCCCCCGGACCTCTCAGATTTGGAAGGCAAGAGAATTTTACTTAGATTTTTATCTTATAAAACTTACCTTTGAGCCCGTTAGCGAAATTTCACTTTTCATTTTCAGTTTTCACTTACTCTGTAGCAGACAAGACAGCTTGAATTGCAAATTTCAATAGCTTAGGCTGTTACTATCTTCATGAAGTTAAAGTAGTTCTTCCATAGTCAAAATTTATCCTCAGATATTTACCAGGATACAAATTCAGGCCATGGATTTCCCTGTATCTTTAGCCCTTATTCTTAGTCAGGAAAACCTAAAGTACCCAACTTGCAGGGCAAGGTCGTTAAGGAGAATTCAGTTCGGATAGATCTAAAGAATATAGCAAATTGCCTATACCACTTCTTATCAAGAAAACAGTAAAGAACAGCAACTGTTCATCCATATCCATCCCAGGCATGCTCGTTTCCTTTCCAAGTCTTAAGTAAATACTGCCACTTAAGTAAGAACTACCACTGTTCCTTTTCCAGTGCTTAGGCCGTACTCCTGGTAGAAAAGCAGCATTTACAGTCTGCTGCGTAGGTCTACGGATGTCTTATGTTAAGTACTAGATTTGTTATTTATAACTTGATTAATCAGATTTGGTGTTGTATTGGATGCCTTTGTTTGGTAAGAGAGATTTCACACTGAGGGGGGGAAAACAGTGATTGGTAAGGGTAGCTGCATAGGTGTCATATATTGCCCAGCACCAAGAAATTGTCTCCGTAGTACCTAAATCATTCTCGTTAGGACGATTAGCACTTTTCAACATTAAATAAGAATTGTTTATTGGAATAACAATTAGCAGGTCTCCTAAAGGGTTCGTGAAACAGTGTTTCGAGTGAAATTACATCAGTTCAGTGACATGTACTATTCACTGTTTTTCTCAGTTATATGAATGTGAATATAACAACTGAAAATCCTTGGGGCATGAAATGTTTGAGTGATAAACATTGGTGAGAGTTGGGCAGTCATGCAAAACGGCTGCAATTTGTTAGAGAGGTAAGCCCTTTCAAATAAAATGTGCATTAACATAGTACTGTAAAGCCTGATTAGGATCAGGGAATGCAGCCTGTTGTTTTATAGATGGGAACTATATCCACGGTGAACGATGACTGAGGAGGCTTTAGGTGTAATGATGGAGAGGTTGGTGTGATGTCGTAATGAAAGGGATTAAGGTCATCCTTGAACGTGTACAGAAGATAGCAATAAACAGAAGTAGGGAGGTTATTTCATGGCATTAGTGACACTGATTCTGGAATACTATGTCTAGTTCAGTTCTCAGTATTTTAAACTGTTGGAAAACTGGAAGTAGCACAGAGAAGAGCCATAAAAATTGTGCTTGAGAAAACACACTGTACAACAGGACAATTTTGGCTCAGTATCTTTCAATTTGTCTGAAAGATAAAATATCATCTTGAGTTAGTGTAGTATTATAGAGACAAGGGTTGTACCAGGAGCTTAAATTTATATGGAAAGCATACATAAATAACCTATTACTTAAAATTAAAAACAGTCACATTCAAAGAAAACTGAAGCAGAAGTTTTAAGTGAAGGCCCTGAAGCAACTTCTAAAATGAAGACACTGAAACAACTTCTGAAAGAAGTACAGGATTCATCCACCCCCTTTGGCTTTACATCAGAACTGAATTCCTTTCTGGGTCACGTATTTGGGTCCAAAGGCAAGCGTAAGCTACTGGTTTCAGTGCAGTGAAGTTCTACAATCTGTGCTGGACAGAAAATCAGGCCAACTGTTAGAAGATCCTTCTGCTCCTAAGCTCTGCAAATTATTCGTTCACTGAGTCTCCTTTATGTAGTCGCAGTCTTTAAATGTTAGGAAAGGTAGTAAAAGAGGGCATGAGTATTCCAGTAAGCACTACTCTGAATGGATTCTGTCAGTCCAGACTGCAAAGACTGCATCCCAAAAGTATGAATGTGCAGTGATCATCCCAGAGTCTAGTTGCAGGTGAGTAGCCGTCATTTTCTCTATGTAAGATTCAGTCCTGCAAAACGTTACCTCAGTGAGACTGCTCGTGGTGTACAGTAAGTTACTTTTTTTTTTTTTTTTTTCTGAATGTGGCATGTTCAGCACCTTACAGTCGAGACTGCATGTAGTTCCTACTAGTGATAGATGAATCTCTCCTTAGCTGGAAGAAAAGATTATAATGCTGCACAAAGAAGTATTTGAATAAGTATCTTTGACGAGAGCAGTTTTCTAAAGTGGTAGGCCAAACTGGCAGTGAACGACTTAAGTGTTGTGCCGCTTCATTGGGAAAAAGCAACGTATTTCCAATACCACTGCATTTTCCATCTCCTCATGAGCAAACCTTTCTCCATGCATTCGTCTTAATAGGCATCATACTCTGCATTGCTCTTCTGGCTCTGAGATTTGTCAGCTTTCTTTGAGGGATAATTATTTGTTCCTTTTAAGTATTTCTTAATATGATAGCAGTATCTTACAGAAGTCTGAAATCTGAGCTCTTTCAAAAGATACGTGGTTGCAACTGCAAGTTTGAGTTGGATTTTTGTAGTCATCTTTATATATTTGGACAGTGGAACCGTTACAAATTGCTGTGTTTTCCCCCACCTCAGAATAGCATTCCTTTCGAACACCATGGCAAGTAGCTGCTCGTCTCCTTTCGTTGGAAGGCAGCACTGGGTGAGTGCTTCTCATTAGACACCAAAACTTTGGATGGGGTGGGGAAAAATTCTTTAGAAACATCAGTCTTTGCTTCTCCTCCTCACGTTATCTCACAGTTGTACACTGTTTCTGTGCCTTCCGATCAGACGCTTGATGAAGCATTGTTTTCTTCTAAATGTAAAAGTAAACGTCCTTCCAAAAGTTGAGTTATTGCTGCTGTTCCACTTGGACTCTTTAGGAGAACTGACAAAAATAGTGACTTTTGAAGTCCCTAAAATCATTCAGGCATCAAAGATAAAATAACCAACTCTAAATCATGGCTATTCTAGAATTATAATATGTCTTTCCGGGGATGCTCATGCAGCAGTTTGTCATCCATTCAAAACCAGATCAAGCTTCAGAATCATAAAACCAAAATATTTTACAAAGATTTAATTAACTGCATTGCTCAAATGAGGCTCTATCTTGTCATGAATGGAATGTTCTACTACAGCATTATTAATTTTTCACCGTTTTGTATTCTTCTCCATTCCTTATGAGCTGCCATGTTAAAAATATTCAGATCAATACTACTAATGAGAACAGTTTGAACGTTGAGCGTCTTGAAGGCAGACAGACTTGGATTTAGATACTTAGAACTCCTTTCCATTGATCGTTGCAGTAGAATTTTCTGCCTGTTTGTGTGCAGTTTTCAGCTTTTTAGTCCGTTCTGCTTTAGGCAATAGCAGGTTTCATCAGGGAAGCAGTAAGTTTCAGTTGGAATCTGAACCTTGATGCGCTGAAAGGATGCTTTCTTAAATATTTCAGGAGCTTCTTCTTTGCTTTGCTTTTTATTTTAAAAAGAAGGCCATGAGATTTTGCTGTTCCTTTTTAAATTCCACTGTATACTCTGTCTGCTGCCTCACTTTCTCTATAAATCCTAAGCTTGCACTAATCCTGTATCTCTAGTTGGTGAAGAATCCTGCTCTTTCTCTTTGATTTTCTCCTGCTTTGTTTGCTTGGCTGTTTGACACAAGCTGCTGCTTAAACAGTTTGTAATATTAAGAAGATCCAACTTTAAATGATAGCTTAACACTTTAGAGCCCAATTACCAGCCCTTAATCAAAATTACAAAAAAAAAAAAATCACTTTGAAAAGTTCACGTATGTGAGAATCGCAGGTTGCAGTCTGCTCAGGGTTGTGTCTGCATTGTTTGGCCTTTGCTTTACTATTTGTAGCTATTTACAACTGAAATGAATCCTGACCTAGCTACTTTGACATTTCTTACATCTTAAATTGCACCGATGCATGATTGTTGTTCACTTTCACGGTGAAAGCGTTATTGAAATAGGTCAAGCTATGGAAACTTGCAGAGTACCTTGTAACGCAATGTTCCATTAAAAACAAAACACCGTTTAAAATAATTATTTTTCACCTTCATCTTGCAATTTTTTTTTTCCAACCTTAGTATTCATTGATTCTATTTCTCCACATTGGTTGTGTTTTCATCTGGTTTATTCTTTTTTGTGTGCATGTTTATGCTCTATTTACTTTTTCTTCAAAACATCCCTTCTGACTGGAAAGGTGAATTTTCCATGTTAACTTCCACTAAAGGAGGAAAATACAGGGAACTTCGTGTAGCTACAGGTGGGTGCGAAACATTATGTAGTTCGTTGGATCATAGATTCACACACTTTTTGGCAACAAATGATGTGAAAGTATGTTGAGAGCCATTTGCATGTTAACGGGACGGACTTGTGCTGATCTTATCTTGTTTTTGGCTTCGGTAGATTCCTGCTCGGGTAACTACCAGTGTTCTCCAGTCCGCTGTGCACCGATGAAAATTGTTTTGCCATGGAGGGCAGATAATGCATGGCTGATCTCCTATATTGCCAATGGCTTTACTAGCAAAAATACCCTAAACTAGAATGGAAACGTTACAACTGGAGTTCTCCATGTGGCTTAAAAGGCACTTGGAGGAACATGGACAGACTCCAGCAGCTGCCGTTACAGGACGCTTTTGCCAGAAACCCAGTGACCTTAAGAGAACTCTGTAGTAACAGGGCTGGAAAAGAAAGATGGTTTACCGAGTTGACCGCCTGTTATCGGATGGCCATTTCAGTTCTCCCTCCACAGGCGGCAGACTTTACCCCTTTTTAGTATTCTACTGTAACTATAAAATCTTTTACTTGGTTTCAGAAAGTTTTTGTATCATTTTGCTAAAATTATTGGCTTAATTCTCTGTAAAGAACTCTATCTTGCTTTTGTCTGATTTGAAAATGTAGAATATACACAATCCTAAACTAAAGACAATGACTTGAAATTTCTTGTTTAAAAAAATATTAGTCTGACAGGGAACATGTAAATGAATCAAAACCATCTGACTTCATTTAAACTGTTTACTTACTTGTATGATCCCATTCTGAATGAGAAGAGTTTGTCATGAAATTTTTAAAACTTAGAATTATATTTTGTTGTTTGCTGTCTTCGTTCACACTTGCATTTAACTTTCCATGTAACACAAAGGAATTTTTGATACTCGTTCTTCTGCACGATAGAAGAGGAATAAAGATCCTGCAGGAGAGTCTAAGTATAGTAGAGATGGTGATAATGGATTTCTTACTTGTAAAGGTTACGAAGAACAAAGCGCAAGACTGATATTTGAGGGATTTAGAGTTTGGAAGCTTGTCATATCTCTCTGCTTTATTTGAGAAAATGGATTGTGTTTCAAACATTTTTTTTTCTGGGTAAGGTCTTGTGTCCTGCACTCTGAGGCTGGTTAGCTTGGAGGGAATTGCAAGTGGAAAATGAATGTTGCCAGAGAGTCTCCAGTGAATTGGTATTTGCTTTAGTATCTACATGTTCTGGCCTTCTGTTTCATGCCAAGACTCAAAAAAAGGGATTCTAAAGAAAGTATTGTTGCTGTGAAATCCTGAGAATTTTCAAAACTCAGGTATGTACCATTTTTGATTCTTAATCGTAATCAACCTGTGTATTTCCAGAATCATTAGCCATGAGCTAGGAACGGATGGCACAACTTGCTTAGGGTATCCAAAAAATTTGCAGGTGTTCTTGGCAAATGTCCTTCTTAAGGAATATAGGAGAATCTTTATATTGTTTATTACTGTAAAAAGTCTCATAAAATAATAATAGATATTTTGTCCTCATAGTAGTTGGAACAGTATCAGAAGTACTGTTTATACTAATATCACTGAAGTAATAGGAAGTTCCATGCTGGAAATGAAAGTACATATACAGCTTTCGTTTGAAAAGTTAGCTATTTTGAGAAATTCTTCCTTGCTTGAAAACAAATTATTTAATGGCTTATTGGCCTTCAAAGTTTTATTAAGAGTAATATTTATTGTTCAAAAGTTTGCAAATTCCTCCCTCCCTCAAAAATCCACATATTAAGTGTTAGTCACTTTTCTTTAGAGGTTTTCAGAACATTAACTACTCCCTTGTGTGTACTCTGGGTCTGACTGGGGAGACCTGTGTTTGGGAGAGTACAGTGGAAAAGCTTAAGAGTTTGATCCACAGATAAGTTCACATGACGGAATTTTTTCCTCAGTTACTGTAAACTTCAGTATTTTAGGCATGTGCACTACCATTTGAACAGCTCTACACTTCACTGTGCTTTCCTTGTAAATATCTGTGGTTAATATGTCCTGTTAGAGGGACTCACAAAGGCAGCCTCTTTATTCCCTCTGTATCTGGAACATTAGATTGCTGTACTATACTTAAAAGTTGACTGCAGACTTCTAGACTTGTACTCGGTTGTGGGCAATTATTGCCCTTCATAATAGTTAAATTCCATCATGTGGAAAATACTTAGACTGTCTGTATAAACCTGTGTATTGGAAACCAGTAGCTCAGAGCACTTCATTTGTATTACCACTGTATTTGTGTACCTTAACAATTGTGTAAATACATTCATAATGACTTCTACTCTTCCTTGGTGTAACTTACTTACTCACGATGACTCCCGACTTTCCTTGGTGTAATTTTGTTTACCTTTTGAATGGGTTTCTGTACACATAAAGAACATTCTCAGTTATGAACACTTGAAGAAATTGTGGTAATACTAAAACTTTCACTGAAGGATCTTGGTAGTCACAGTCAGAATACAGCAGGTAGGGTACACAGGAAAAAAAGAAGGCATTCATTGCCCATTTCACAGAAAACGAGCCTTTTTCTTTTAAGAGGTAATTTTGTTTGTTTGTTTGAATATTGCTTCTTTTCCAGAAGTCTTTTTGCAAAGGCTTTGCTTTATCAGGTAATACATTTTATGGATAGGAAATGTGGGAAGGCAATTGCTTTTGAGACTTGATAAGTTGTAGGAGCTAGGATAAAAGTGACAAGAATATTTAGCTTGCCTGCAATGCCCTGTATAATTATAAAGTCCTCCTCAAAAGTCTATTCAAAATCTGAGGGTGGATAGGCTTTCAAGAGCCCTTTATATCTCTAATTACAGCTCTTTAAAAGGTGGAGGCTTATTAATTTATCCCCCTAGTTTTCATGCAAAATTGGCTATGTTTTTTTATGTGGAAAATATCACCTGTGCTGCGGTTGTACATAATCCTGGTGATTGAGTCTCTGAATTCTTTGTGAGACAAGTACCTTAAAAACAGTTGACAGTAAATCCTATACTTCAAGAGGTATACCAAAGTTAAAGGATTTAAAGAGTCTGTGCATTCCACATGCTAACTTCATGGAAGTACTTGAAATCTCCCTTGGAGGAAGTCATGTAGAACTTAGAGGCTTCTCATCCTTCATTCTCAAGTGGGGAAAGGTATCATAAGCACAACTATTTGTTGTCTTGCTTTCCTTACGCTCCAGACCTCAGAGTGGCAGCTCCTCCATTGAAACTGTCAAAGGTAACACTTTCAGAAATGGAATTTCCCAACAAGAATCTTTACAAGGAATGGATTTATGGGTACATCATGAGGTGGAGTGTGTTCCTTTCAAG